AAAAATCATCCAACTTAATTTACCACTTAGCTTTTCTTGAAGTTTTTTCTTAGCTACATTATGAAAACCTTAAGTATTTGAAAGATATCTAAGAATATTCTTCAGTCCTACTCTCCACACTTCAGAAGGGCAGTTGGCTAATCCTTCAGATTATATTTAAGGTCAGTTTAGTGCCTAGCCCAGCAATATACATAAAAAGGAACTTAAAGTATTTCTGTAAGATGGTGATTTTCTATATTATAACTAGGAACTATATATTTCATTATTTGCAGGCTCTTCAATATTATTAGTATGAGTATTTACTCTACAAATTACAACCTCTATCCCATACCCCCAAGACTTAGTAGATGATCTTTGAAAGTTATTATACCCAAAAATTTATTGCTCTGTGGTCAATCTGGCAATGACCCTCTCTGAATTTAGCCAACCTCATCCTCACACAACAGACACATAGTCCACCACCAAGCTAGCTTCACTGAAACAGTCAAACGTTAGGTTTCATAGGTAGGAGGCACAGTGGATCTACAGAATACTGGACTTGAGAGTCAAGAGTAACAGAATTTCAATCCTGCCCCAGACACTTATAATCACGTGACCTTGAGCAAATCACTTAGTCTCTTAGCCTCAGTTTATTCATACGTAAAATAAGGATAATAACAGCACCTAACTCACAGGGTGGTTGTGAGGATCAAATGAGATAATGTATGTAAAGTGATCTTCTAGACTTAAAGCATTATATTAAATGTTAACTATTATTATAGCCATCAAGAATATGTGGTCAATAATTAGGGCCAAAATCGATTGTTCCTGTGCACAAAGACCATACAGTTTGAAAAACTTGTATGTACCTAAAATGCCTAAGCCCAAGAAAGCAGGGATTTATCATTTCCTAGAGTAGAAGAATAGAAGATAAGGTTGTAGAGGAGAGTTACCCACCTAGGGACTCAGCAAAAAGGAAAAGTACAACTTCCCACTCAATCCCCTGTACTCTTCAATTAATTACTGAAAATTTTATTCAAACTCAGCTTTTGTTGCTGGTTATGAGGGAAAGGGTTTGGGAACGATACATACCAGAGTAAAACCAACTTCTGTTTCACTGTCCTCTTAGTGCTCACACACTTTTAGAGATGTATGCATCTGGTGGTTTAGTAGGTAAAGGGTAGGATAAAGTAGATATAGTAGATATAGGTTAGGTGGGGTTTACAGCCCATCTCTGACACCTCAGTGTATGAATATCGGTGAGTTGTTTACCTTCCAACCTCAGACAACTCTTTACACTATAGACAAGTTATAATCAGTTGATTTCAAGAGAATTCCCACACCACTGAAACTGGTCTTTGAAATATTAATATATGTTGATGAACTATTACCACCTGGAGACTAGACACACTTAGCTATGTATGTTAAAATTTTTGTTACATACTTAAAACTTAAGAGCCAGAAGGAACCTCAGACATCATCTAGTCCAGAGCTTCTTAAACTTTTTCCACTTGCTACCCCTTCCTTGCTTCTTAAACTGTGGTTGCAACCCATATCTAGTCCAACTTGTACCTGAGCAGAAATCCTACTCTATGCATATTTCCAATAAGAGGTCATTCAGTCTCTCACTACTTCCCAAGGCAAGCCATTCCACTTTTAGATAGTTCCACTTTCCATACTGGGTTGAAATGAGCCTCTACCCTAGGAAAAGAATCAAAACTACTACTCATGCAATCTCTGCAAAGCTCAGAGAACCAGAGGCTCAAGGGATTCAGAAGTTACAATAGAAATTGGGTATTACTATTTCAAGGAGGTATTTAAAGAATACGAGCAGACATGTTTAAGGTCCTAAAATACCTTATTTACATTTTAATCCCTATTTCAGCAAAACCTTGCAAACCAGAAAGAGGCACCCACTCGTTTAAGATTCCTTATATCACAAGATCATAAGTTTAGAAACCAAAGACTTGAAAGATCATCTAAACTGTTTCCTCAACTTAGAGATGAGAAAACTAAGGCCCAGAAAGTTAGTGATTTGCCCCAGGCCAAACAAGTAATAAAAGGCAGAACCAGATTTCAAGTCCAGTTCTTCTTGACTCCAATTCTATTATATTATCCTGCCCTCAGCTACTGTTGTTGAGTGATCTACACAGTTCTGATCTATATGAGAAAATGCAAAAGTGATGTAAAACTAGAGAACAGCTAGTGTAAGGGAGATAGGTTGTCTTCCTTATATCTGTCAGTGCAAATATTACACAAATAGTACCTACAGCTGGTGGGAATGGCTGAACAGCTATTAATTTTGCTATTACCAAAAATGGATCATTTCTGAAGGTTTTACTTGAAATTTTGCAATATTTATGAATTTTGCAAAATTCTTAGCAAGTTCTTTGGCAGGGAGAGAAAGGATTTTAAATTTCAATTCAATCTCTGGTCCAACATAAGAAAAATTCAAGGGATTTTTTTGGACTGAAACTATAATTTCATCGGTTCAAGAACTTCGAGTGAAGAAACTCTCTCTACTAATGCCAGTCTCATAGAGTTTCCCAAGGCAGGGCTGGCTGCATGTATCAGAGACTCAAACCTAGGTCTTGATGACTCCATGGTCAAATCTTTAACCATTGTGCCTTGCTGCCTATCAGCAGGATAAAATTTCAAAAATTAATTTCATTTAAAGTATCATGTTCAAAACAAAAATGATGTATTTGAAAAATGTGACCAAGACAGACAAGTTACAGACTTAAACACAGGAGATGATATAAAACTACAAATGACCATGTCTGAATTGGTCTGAAGAACCTAATTCTGATAAAGAACTTATTAGTTATTGAACTAAGACTTTAAAAGAGAAAAACTTTATACTTCTCATTGGAAAGAGGCAGATCACCCTTAAATAATTTTTTAAAAAAACCATGACAAAAAACTTATTAAGAGCTCTTAGCTACCTGCCAAGACAAACAGGAGGACATTTTAAAAAGTACAAAAACCCTACATGCTCAAGTTATATACATCAAGTCTTGATCCAATCTTAGAATAGTCTATTTACAATTAAACAGCACCATAATTTCCTCAGCCAGGTTAGTTGTTTTAATCATACCAAAAGAACTGTGATTTAACATATAAATTCATTTAAAACAAAACAAAATCCACAAGAGAACTTGCAATCCCTCAAGAGAAAAATGAACTTTTACCTACTGCCATGAATGGCTTAAAAAAAATGAATTGAAGTGCAATACATCTGAACTTCTTTCTTCCAACCACGAAGACTAAGGGATACTGAAGTTCCCTGTGACATGCAAATGAGCAAACAAGATGCAATTCTTTAATTGCAGGAGTGTTAACCAAAGTAACACAATGCTGAGCTCCATTCCCCAGTGCCTAACAATTACTCTTGAAATTAATGCTTCAAACTTCTCTTGAATTCCAGGCTTTGAGCAGACCTGAGAAAGCTGCAGCCACAATCCTAAGGCAATTAAACAAAAGAGAGATCTGAAATTAGCTCATCTTTTTTAAGAAACATATTAAAAATAAGTTATAGATACCTCCTGTCTAGTCATCCTATTATTTTAACGCTACTTTCAGGCCATTTAAAATTAATTTCCATTTTGTTGTTAAAGTTAATAAAGCTTATTATTTGAATTGTTTGAAGTTTTGACCTTCTTTTTGTCTCCAGTGAAAGGATTTTCCTTCCTCTATTCTTCTTTTTGAGGGATGCAGAATTGAAATAACATGGGATGCTGGCTAACAGTATGTATCAGCTCCCTTCCATTTACAGAATCAGTAAGCCCACAATCTCAATCTCTGGCAGCTTGAACTGAGGCCAGAATACACTTCACAAACCAAGTGAACCAAAAAGCTTTTTTTGGTCCCTCACTCTCATTTCCCAGGTATTTCCTTATATATACATTATCCAAGAAAGTACGATGGAGAAAAATTACCATCCAGCATAACTAGAAATAACAAACTGAATTAGGAAGTATTCAAGAAAAGCATGCTATGTCTAGCATATGAAGCAATGCATCATTGAACTGTTTTTAGTGCTGGTGTTTAAATGTCAGGAAATCTTTCACACTGAGCAGTTAAAATAAGGAAAGTGCTTTGTAAATTGTTAAGCACTATAGAAATGTGAGCTATTATCTGATGACTAGAATGAAAAATAGGCACAATCTCCTCCTAGGCACAGGTGAAATGGGCAGTCCTGACATTCTTCATGCAAGGCAGAGGGAAAAGGGAGAATCATTCCATCCTCCTGTGAGGACATTCGGTTTCACTGTTCCCATGTAGCCCATGCAGCCCTGAAATGGAGTCTAGGTCAGGGTATGCAAGAGAATGGCTGGTGTAGCCCTATTCTGATTCTCTTTCCCAACAAAGATGCCCCTCACATTGTTCTCTAGGGGAGAACGCACACACTTACTTCAAAGCAGTTGTGCATTTGAAGCACAAGCTACCATGACTAATGATTTTTTTTTTCTACCCCAGCGAGGAGTAGCAAAGGTATTAGTGGAGTGGCCTCCTGCGGCTAAAGGTGGAAACAGAGGTCAACAATTCAGGAGATATTTCCAGATACCACTGAGGCAGGAGGACAAAAGAACTGTGAATCAAGTACAATATAATATAAGAGATTTTACTGTATTTACTAAGTTATTGCCTAGTGCTCCAGAGTCAGTAACAGCATAAGACTGCCTACCACCAGCTTGATAAAAGGTACCAAAATTGGTTGGTATGAACATAAAAATTTTCATAAACACATGAAAAAAGGGACAGCAATGCTGAAACACAATGCTAGGAATATTTTTCCCACTTTTTCCCCTTGATGAATGAGTTTTGAATAACAGCAGTTAAAATCAGAAAAGAAACATTACAAATACTGCACTTCTGTTGCTGTCAAAAAAAGCTACATTTGGGGCAAATTATGCAGTAGGAATTTTTTGAAATAGCCTAATTTGGTTTGTTTAAAAAAACTTATTCTGAATTCAAAAAGTGCTGTTCTTCATGGATGGCTGCTTTATTCATTGTTCAAATCATTTAAACAAAGCCATTTATGTTGGGTTTCTTTTTTTTTTTTTTAATAAATGGTTATTTCATTTGTTGACTCTTGTATTAGAAATGGCAATCATATGAGTCTCAAAGGCTGGCTCTTTGTGTTTTATGTTTTGTGTAGATCTCCATCACAGATGGAATTTTTCATTGGTCATTCCTCAGAACTCATGGGCAAATAAGGGCAGTGAAAATAAATTTCACGCCATAAAGGAGGAAAAACCAAAAGGGAAAACCAGCCAACAAGACCAGTTCAGTTCTCAACTGGTGTTGGATTTTGCAAAGGCTGGCTCACAATAACCTGTACTACATAGTCCTTTGGGATCTTCAATTCTTCCAGTTTCATTTTGTCAGTGAGGGGCCTGCCTGAAAAGAACCAGCGCTGACTAGTTGGCTCCACCCCTTCCACTGCATTCAACCTCCTCTTCATGTGGTACACTGTGTCTGTACTACGAGCCAAAAGTTTGAGATCTTTGCCTGTGGAAAGACGTAAACGGAGTTGACATTCATATCCAGAATTCGGTGGTGGATCAGGAATATCCAGAGTCTCTATGTCACTCTTTTCTTCTATCATGTTGATTGGTGGGGCCAAGCAATAGACTGGAAGCTGATATCTGTTTCCCAGTTCATCATAACACTCCGTAAGGGCACCTTCAAAAGGAGGAAAAAAGTAACAGTGATCTAAATTAATTCATTGTGATATATACTTTGGGAAATTTCCAAGTCACCTGTTAGTGTCTTCTGTAGTCAATACAATATAAAGTTGTGATGTCAGCTTGCTAGTTGATTAGCAATGATAAGTAAAAACCAGCAAGGTTAATTATTATCATCTAGTTTTCAATTCAATTTAAAAGTATCCATTAAGCATCCATATTCAAGCCACTGTGCTTGGGGAGTGGGGGGCGCTGGTGGTGGCAGGCAACACTTGAACCTCATTCTCATCATAACTGGCTTAAAGAGGGAATGATACACATATAGAGTTGGGTATTGAAATGTATCTTACCTTATAGGGAAGTAGGAAGGAAAAGGAATCAAAAGGGGGAGGAGGAGGGACAGGGAATGACAGAAGGGAAGGTAGAGTAAAGAAGGCAAAAGTCAGAAGCAAAACAGACTTTTGAGGAGGGACAGGGTAAAAAGAGAAAGAAGGATAAACAGGGAAAAATAGAATGGAGGGAAATAGTAATCATAACAGTGATTGTGAATGGGATGAACTCACCCATAAAATGGAAGTGGATAGCAGAATGGATTAAAAACCAGAATCCAACAACACGTTGTTTATAAGAAACACACTTCAAACAGAGAGATACATACAGAGCTAAGGGGGCAGAGCAGAATCTATGATGCTTCAACTGTGGTTAAAAAAAAAAATGCTTCAACTGTGGTAAAAAAAAAAAAAGCAGTGGTAGCAATCTTGATCTCAGACAAAGCAAAAGCAGAAGTAGACCTAATTAAAAGAGATGAGCAAGGAAACTATATTATGCTAAAAAGTTATCATAGACAATGAATATCAATACTGAACATATATGGACCAAATGGTACAGCATCCAAATTCTTAAAGGAAAAGTTAAATGAGTTACGAGAGGGAATAAATAGTAAAACTATACTACTAGAGGACTTCAACATTCTTCTCTTAGAACTAGATAAATCTAACCATAAAATAAACAAAGAATAAGTTAAAGACATGAATAGAATTTTAGAAAAGTCAGATATGAAAGACCTCTGGAGAAAATGAACGGAAATAGAAAGGAATATACCTTTTTCTCAGTCGTAAATGGCACCTTCACAAACAATTAACATGTATTAGGGAATAAAAGCCTTAAAATCAAAAGTAGAGAAGCAGAAATAATAAATGCATCCTTTTTAGAACATAATGCAATAAAAATTATATTCAATAAAGAGCTATGGAAACAAAGATTAAAAATTAATTGGAAACTAAATAATCTAATTCTAAAGAATGAGTGAGTCAAAGAACAAATCAAAGAAACAATGATTTCATTAAAAAGAATGACAACAATTAGAGAACACATCAAAATTTGTGGGATGCAACCAAAGTAGGGAAAATTTACCTCTCTAAATGTTTACATCAATAAAATGCTCTGAGAAAAAGCAGATCAATGAATTGGGCATGAAACTAAAAAAACTAGAAAAAGAACAAATTAAAAATTCCCAATTAAACACCAAGTTGGAAATCCTGAAAATCAAAGAAGAGATTAATAAAATTGAAAATAAGAAAATCATTGAACTAATTAATAAAACTAGAAACTGGTTTTATGAAAATACCAATAAAATAGACAAACTACTGGTTAACTGGATTTCAAAAAAAAAAAAAATCAAATTACCAGTATCAAAAATGGAAAGGGTGGATTCACCACTGATGAAGATGATATTAAAGCATTATTAGGAGCTCTTTTGTCTGATTTTATGCCAATAAATCTAACAATCTAAGTGAACTGGATGAATATTTACGAAAATATAAATTGCTAAGATTAACAGAAGACAGAGTATTTAAATAACCCTACCTTAGGAAAAAAAAAAAAACTGAACAAATCATCAATGAACACCCTAAGAAAAAATCTCCAGGACTAGATGGATTCACAAGTGAATTCTACCAGACATTTAAATCACATTCCAACACTATATAAACTATTTGGAAAAATAGGTAAAGGAGTCCTACCCAAACTCCTTTTACGACACAAATGTAGTACTGATACCTAAGTTAGGAAGAACAAAAACAAAGAAAGAAAACTACAGACCAATTTCCCTAATGAATATTGATACAAAAATTTTAGGAGATTACAGCAATATATCACAAAGATCGTAAACTATAATCAAGTGGGATTTATACCAGAAATGCAGAGCTGGTTCAATATTAGGAAAACTATAAGCATAATGGACCATAAGTCAATAACACAATGAACAAAAATCATAATTATTTCAATGGATTCAGAAAAAGCTTTTGATAAAATGCAACACTCACTCCTATTAAAAATGTGAGAAAGCATAGGAATCAGTGGAGGTTTCCTTAAAATGATAAATAGTATCTATCTAAAACCATCAGCAAGCATTTTTTGTAACAGGCACGCAGTAGAAAACTTTCTAACAAGATAAAGGGTGAATAAGGATGTCCTTATCAACACTATAATTCAATATTGTACTATAAATGCCAGCTATGGCAATTAGACAAGAAAAAGAAATTGAAGGAATTAGAAGAAGCAATGAGGAAACAAAACTATCACTCTTTGCAGAAAATACGATGGTATAAGAATCCTAGAGAATCAACTAAAAACTAGCTGAAATAATTAACAACTTCAGCAAAGTTGCAGGATATGTAATAAACACAACGTAAATCATTAGCATTTCTATATATATCACCAACAAAGTCCAGCAGGAAGAGATAAAAAGAGAGATTCCATTTAAAATAACTGCAGGTAATATAAAATACTTAGGAATCTACCTGCCAAGACAAACCCAGTAATTCTATGAACACAATTATAAAACACTTTTCACACAAAGAAAGTCAGATTTAAACAACTGGAAAAATATTAACTGCTCTTGGGTAGGCCAAGTCAATATAATAAAAATGGCAATACCACCTAAAAAATTTACTTATTCAGGGCCATACCAATCAAACTACAAAAAATTTATTTTTAGAAAAAACAACAACAAAATTCATCTGGAAGAACAAAAGATCAAGAATATCAGGGGAATTCATGGGAAAAAAAATGTAAAGGAAAAGCAGCCTACCAGTACCAGATCTCAAACTGTTATGCAGCAGTAATCATCAAAACAATCTGATACTGGCTAAGTAATAGAGTGGTGGATCAGTGGAACAGATTAGGTACACGATACACAGTAGTAATGACTACAGCAATCTAGTTTGATAAACTCAAAGACTCAAGGTTTTGGAATAAGAACTCACTATCTGACAAAAATTGCTGGGAAAATTGGAAAGCAGTTTGGCAGAAACCAGGTATAGAGACCAACATCTTACATCATATACCATGATAATGTCAAAATGGATACATAATTAAGACGTAAAGAGTGATATCATAAATAAGAACAGCAAGAAGTAGTTTATCACCTGTTTACCACCTATGGATAAGGGAAGAGCATATGACCAAACAAGAAATAGCATTATGAGATATAAAATGGATAACTTTGATTATATTAAATTAGAGAACTAAGTCAAATTTATAAGAATAGAAGTCATTCCACAATCAATAAATGATCAACAGATATGAACAGGCTGTTTTCAGAAGAAGAAATCAAAGCTATCTATAGTGATGAAAAAATGTTCTAAATAATTATTGGTTAGAGAAATGCGAATTAAAACAATGCTGAGCTACCACCTCACACCTATCAGATTGGCTAATATAACAAAAAAAGGAAAATAACAAATATTGGAGGGGATATGGGAAAATTGGGACACTAACACACTACTGGTGGAGTTGTGAACTGGGTTCAACCATTCTGGAGAGCAATTTGGAACTATGCCCCAAGGGCTATAAAACTGCATACTTTTTTATCCAGCAGTCTCTCTACTACGTGGTTATCTCAAAGAGATAAAAAAAGGGGGCGGGGGGGGCAGGGAGAAGGATCTATTTATAACAGCTCATTTTGTGGTGGCAAAAACTTGGAAATTGAGGGGATATCCATCAATTAGGGAATGGCTAAACAAGTTGTGGTATATGATTGTAATGAATACTATTGTGCTATAACAAACGAATGCAATAATTTCAGAAAAGACTTGGAAAGACTTAGATGAAATGATGCAGAGTAAAGTTAGCAGAACCAGAAGAACACTGTACACAGTGACAGCAATACTGTACAATGATCGACTCTGAACAACTTAACAATACAAAGATCCAAGACAATTCCAAAAGACTTATGATGAAAAATGTTATGCATCTCCAGAGAAAGAACTGATGGGAGTGTGAATGCAGACTGAAGCACATTTTTTAAACCCTATTTACCTTGGTTTTTTGGTCTGTTTTCTTTTGCAACAAGGCTAAATGGAAACATGTTTTGCATGACTGCACATGTATAATTTATATCAAATTTCTTGCCCTCTTAAAGAGTAGGGGGGAAGGGAAGAAGAAAATTTGGAACTCAAAATTTAACAAAACAAATGTTAAAAAAATTATGTGTAATTCAAATTGCAAAAAAAAAAATTGCAAAAAAATGTGCTCAACTCTATGAATACAAAGAAAAACAACAATATGGTCCTTATTTTCAAGGGCTGGAGGATCTACTGAAGTCAAGACAATATATATGCATATACACAGAAATATAAAAAGGGGTAAAGCGTGATAGGGACAATGAAAATATCTATACAAAATGCTCTAGCAATATCTGAGAAGAAAATAAGTTTACTCTGGTAGATTCAGGGAGGCTTCATGGGGAAGTGGTTCCTGACTTGAACTCTGAAGGGAAAGATATATTTCAACAGGTAGAGATGAGAAGGTATTCCAAGTACATGATTACATAGAAGCAAGAGATCACAAATCAGCAAGCAACTCAACCTATAGTTTTATCTGAGCTTCTGAATTTTTTTCCTACTAAATCATTTTAGGTCATATTTCAGAAATAATTCATATTTATGTAAAAGTTCAGTGCAGGAGCTGAAAGGACACTACATATGCAAATCTCCC